AAGAAAAAAAAAAAAAAAAACAGGTGAAACAAACTTTACTTTACGTATAGAACTATTTTTGTTTTTCTTCTCCTCTTTCTTCCTTTTTCTTTCATTTTTTTTTTTTTTTTTACGAATGGGGCGCGAATCAATCCAGTTGGATCATGCACCCTTTCAATCTTACTTTAAGAGAGAGAGAGAGAGAGAGAGAGAGAGAGAAACAAAAGGGGGATTCTCGCGAAAAGGAAGACCGCCTCGAGAAAACTACCCTAAGTCGCCTGGCGAGCATATTAAGCGCATTGTTTACGTAAAAAGGGTTCCTCGTCTTCTCAATAGTGAACGAGTCGCTCTCTCTCGCAAGCTCTTCGACTCTCACGCTACCATAATTCTTCTGGTTTCTGGTTTCTGGTTCACGTCTGACTATACCTCGCTTAGAAGACGATAGTATCGCAGGCGACGTCACACGACGTCGAGTAATTACAAGTTAGTCTTTGCTCCGAACATGGTGGCCGTGATGAAGGCTGGCAGCGAAAGAGTCGAGCCCCCCCCAGAAGAGAGAAACGAAGAAGAAAGAAAAGGGGGGGAGGGGGGAAAGAAAAAGAAGATTCGCCGCCGGCGTCGTCAGACACACCCCTCGTTTTTAACGTTCTACAGTCGACGGAAAGCACTTTTGGACAATTATACAACGTTATAGTTTAGGACCTTCGTTGTCGTCGAGTTCGATGTTGGCGAACTCTTCAGTTAATACTAAACCTCCTAAGTAGTATATAATAACTATACGGATCTCTCACCATCTCGAAACATCGTCAAACCTCTTCCTCAAAGTTTCTTTCTACACGAGTCTCGTTTCTTTCTTTCTTTCCTCTTCTTTCGCTTCTCGTCCATCGTCGTCGTGATAAATAACTCGTATATATATATTTATTTATTTACTTTTTCTCGTCTCGTTTATGTTTACTTGGCTAACCGCTTACTTCTCCTCTTCCCTTATCTTTATACTCGATAGCAGGTATTAAATATTCACTTTGTTTCTAACTAGCAGCCTCTGGGTGGGCGACTGGCCCCCTAACACGACCAGCCCCCTTTTCCTCCTCTCTGTGTGTTTTCATCAAATTTTACTTCTCTTCGCTAGTGTCAGCACTAGGGCCTGAGCGTTTAGGCGATTATTATATAATCAACGTAGTCGTACAGTTACAAAGTTATCGGTTTTATATCGTTATTATCAATATTATAATTAACATCTATTGCTACTTTAGTCTAGCATCCCCCCCCCCCTTTTCATCCCATTGTTACTCGTGTTACTTTTCAAAAAAATGTTCGCTGCTCCCTCGATGAAGAAGAAGCCATCGATTTCTCGGTGAACACCACGCCGTCGCGTGTCGTCTACGTGTCAAGCATGTGTGCACGTGCGTACGTGTTTTTTTGTGTTCCTTCATAAATATTATAAAAAAATATAATAGAAAATTATAATTTCGTTATAATATTTATAAACTCTCTACTTGAGATTGGCACTAGAAATTTCTTCTTCTTTCTTTCTTTTTTTTTCTTTTTTTTTGTTTTTTTTTTCTTTTCTTCTTCTTCGTTTCTCTCGATCCGTTTGCTTATTCTCTTTTCCCTGTCGTCTCTCGTCGTTCGGATGCGGCTACTACCCTAACGTCGTCTACGATTTTACAAAATACCACGAGCGTGTATGTACAAGAAAATTCCGCGCGCTTCCTTTCCTTTCGTTTTCTCTTCTTCGTCTTCTTCTTCTTCTTCTTCTTCTTTTTTCCTTGCTCCGGAGTTTGGAATTTTGTCGGCTGACGTTTTTCGATTAGAAGACGAGACCGGGGGGGGGGGGGGGGGGGGGGTCCTTACTCACGTTCACCGAGGAGGACACTTGAGAGAAAGAGAGAAAGAGATGGAGGGAGAAAGAGAGAGTGTTAGAAAATTAACAGCGCGTCGAGGGAGGAGAACGACGCTTCCGGTGGCGCGGAAGTAATAATTGACCGAAACGCTTACCCTCTGAGGACTGGAGGATTGCCTCGCGTTCTTAAACTTAATTTCAGATTAATTAGTACTTTTTTTCTATATAAAAAAAAAAGTGGACCAATCACTCTTGCAGAAAAGAAAAATGAACCGATCTCTCCATCGGATGAAACCTCCACTGAAACTCTGAGATCTGACGAAATTTTCCAAATCGAAAGGCTCAACCGAGAATGAAATTAAAAACGCAAAAAGAAAATATATATATATATACACATACACATATATAAATGAACAAGTCAATTCTGTCTGTCGAAAACGTAAAAAACAAATCAACTTTAAATACAAAACACTTTTCACCGATCGAAATCGGACAAATTTCCACCGAAAACTGAAATCATCGAGTTTCAGAATCTTCCAAGAAGAAGAAGAAAAAGAAGAAGAAGAAAAGAAATTTTCTGTTCACGCGAACACAAGTCGAAAGAAGGACGAGAGGCGGTGTCGAGCCTCAGAGGGCGAATAACAAGGGTGATTTAAACCCCTGGACAAAGAGAGAGAGAGAAAGAGAGAGAGAGAGAGAGGGAGAGATGGCGGAGGCCCGGTTGGTCGCCAGAAGCGGCGTCGAACGGTCCCCCGACGCGGCCCGCTTAAACTACGATCAGACTCTCAGGCACTCGATTCTCCGCAGGCTTAGGTCGCGAAGCTGAACACGACACGAGGAATCCTGGCGACTCCCCTCCGGCTCAGGGGTGTAATTATCGTACGCGCCGGTGAGTAACGACCCCGTGGAACACGCGAGCTTGTTCTCGACGCTTTCTCCTCTAAGCCTCCAGTGTCACGGGGGAGATTTCGGTCTGCCGCTCTTGTCCTGCATTACTTGTTGCTGCTGCTGCTGTTGCTGCTGCTGCTGAGGTGGCGGTGGTTGTTGTTGTTGCTGTTGCTGCTGCTGCTGTTGTTGTTGTTGCTGCTGCTGCTGCTGCTGTTGTTGTTGTTGTTGAGGTGGAGGCTGTTGTTGAGGTTGTTGGGGCTGCTGCTGCTGCTGCTGATGGTGGTGGGAAGTTGGGTCGGTCGCCACGCCTAGATCCGTGCCCATCAGGCCGCCGGCGCCGCTCTTGTCCACCACGCTGCTCGTGTGCACCGGGTGAAAGTATCGGTCTGCAACAGGTCGACATGCCTCTTCAGAACAACTCGTTTACCTCGCGATTGGATCGTATGTCTGGTTGTTAGGCCAATAAATCCGTACAGTTGACTGTAGGCGTTGTCTGTGACATTCAGTTCACAATCCTGGCGGTCGTTCGTCTGTTTGGAACAGAGGACGTTTCGAGCTTACTTCTTCAAAATATCGTGCAAAATTGATTGATTAAGCGTCATTGGTTAAAACATGTTTTGTCGTGTCGTCACTTTGAAAACGAGATTTTGCAACACAAAGGCAAAAAAAAAAAAAAAAGAAAAATGGCTTGCCAGATTTCATCCTGGTTTCATCATTAACCCTTTGCACTTTGACTGTCCTTTCTGAGGGCCTGACACATGGTGCTTGGATCTAGCCCTTTAACTTGCTTGGACTTTCTCTTTCTACAATTTGTTGATAATTATAACGAACATATGTACGTTTATATGGTATACAATGTCTGAACAGACGCCTAGAGCGAAAACTATGACAAGTGCCTGAGTCAATTGACTCACTCGTTGGAATAATTTGCATAAACTAGACACCTCGTTGCTTCTTAGGAAAGCTTGAAATTATTCTTCCAGAGATTCATACTATTCAGAGGTCATTGATTCTTGAGTGTACATAATACTTGTTCTATACAGGTTGATGATTGCTTGATACTTGGTCACATGACAAAACCTCGTCTTGAATACCATTTGAACGATCATTTCCAATAAATAAATCAATTTATGATATCACAAGAAAGTTTTCAAAGAGCAAAGGGTTAATATTGGTCGTTTTGTTTCTCGTTTTTTTTTTTTTTTTTTAGAAATTCAGGCAAAAGGTGGCAATCAAAATGGTCAACACACCGTTGAATAGGAACATATGGACAGTTTAAGTTTTTGTGTCATTTTTTTCACTTGGAGAAAGAACCGCCTTAAACGGACTTATTGACCAGATTATGGTAATCGAAACCGAATCGTCAAGTGTCAACCATCGGTGATTTGGTGTATCGACCTTCGTCCATGGTGGAGGGCGGCTCGCTGGCGGTGCCGGTGATGATCGGCGCGATCATGTTGTAGTCGTCCTCGAGGTTGATGAACGGCGCGGTGTTCCAGCGTGGCGGCACGTTAGAGACGGATCTCTGGGTGGCCACCGGCCTCGTCACCGAGACCGGCGACGAGAACAGCGAGAGGTTCGTCGGGGAGATCACCCCGGACATCGAGCTGATGGTGGGATACGTGAATATTTGCTGTCGAGACAGAAAGTGGAAGAAAGTCAGGCATACATACAGGGTGTCCGCGAAGTCTCTTTACAATTTCAAAAATTTACTACAAAGGCAAGTGAAATGAGAGACGAGTGAAAATTATTAGAAAATGTGACGTATATATTCAAGTTTTTTTTCTTGCCTCGTTTAATGGCAAATAACTGGCACCTAGTTGGCTACTACTAATGGTGGTCATTTGAATATATAACGGTACCATTATTTTTGTAACAATTGTTCCCAATTTTGTTCGTCTTTGCGCGATAAATTTTTGAAACTGCAACGAGACATTATTACAACCCTTGTTTCGCCGCTCACCTGTCCAGGCTGCGAGTGAAAGTGAGCAAACGTGTACTCCCGGCTGGTGTGCGGCGCGGTGACGAGGATCCTGGCGGGGCTCTTCCTTCCGGTCGGGTCGACCGAGCTCTGGCAACCGGAACTCACCAGTCCGACGGCTGCCGCGGCGGCCATTTGCTCCTGATTGGACGCGAGCTCGGTTGGGTCCGTGGGCGAGGTGGACGAAGTGGGCGGCGAGTTGGAGCTCGTGGCGGTCAGCTCGCCGGTCGACCTTATGATGGCGACCGGCCTGGCCATCGGCGCCGGCGGCGGCGGCGGCAGCATCGAGCTCGGGTAATACTGTGAGAACTTTTGTATGCCAGTGCGCGGTCCGGCTAGCTGCGCCTGGAAATACCACACACCCACCGATCAACGTCGTCGACCCGCGCGTGATCCATTCACCCCGATTTTCTCTCACTAGTCTCTCCACAATTTTTCGACAATTCATCGACTTCGACGAAACAAGAAAGTACATATATCGTGCATAATAGCCTCGGACTTTCTCGGCAATTCCGAGATATACAGAAATTCGTAAAAATGCAGGGCGATTGGAGCACGGATGACGTATGCAGGCCGGTGAAGAGCCGCCGCCGCGTTGCCCTGCCCCCGGCCAGGGCAACGCGGCGGCTTGGAAAAAGGATACGGAAGCTACCTGGGGCAGTTGCTGAGTATTCTCGGCCTCCTGGCAGACGAACGTCACGAAATCCGACAGGGTGTCGTGACCGTTCTCGGGGTACTTGACCACCCCGGTGGAGGCGGGATGCTCCGGTTGGTAGTAGGCCAGCCCGGACATACTTTGCCCGGAACCACCGGCCAGCCCTTCGTGCGGCGAGTGCAATCCTGAAACACAATTCACCACTGTCATCCCCCGACTGTGGCTGACCAGGGCGCCACGGTGAAAAACCACCCCCTAAAATCGACTCGAGTCGACTTTCCTCGAATGTAGAAAGGTCTATGTTCGTCTCCGTTCTGCATCACCCACTTCCGTCGTCTCTTTCTTCGATCACCGACGAGGTATACGAACACAATGTCACAGCGTTTAGACGGGCAAAGTAGTTTATGTAGAAATATTTATTTCGAGCAACAAGCTGTGGTGATTTTTCACCAACGAGTTGTGGAAGTTCGTGTTATTGCCATTGCACAGTTGTAATGAAATTGTTAAAAATTTCACGTAAATCCGAATATGTGGTAATTGCCATATTTTAATATTGATAATTTAAATTTTTAATATTAATAATTTAAATTTTTTTTAAATTAATAACTAATAATTTAAATTTTTTTAAATTAATAACTAATAATTTAGAAATTTGTAACTAATAATTTAAATTAATAACTTAAATTTGTTTCAAATTAATAATTTAAATTTTTTTTAAATTAATAACTAATAATTTAAATTTTTTTTAAATTAGTAACTAATAATTTAAATTTTTTTTAAATTAATAATTCAAAATAATTGAAAATTGTGTTTAATAATGTCTGATACAACATAAGTTATTTATGCATAAAACCAAATTAAAAATTTTAATTTACTATACACTGAAAAAAGTTGCGATCCGCAAACATGGGAACTCTATCTGACGTACAATAGAATGATTTCGGTTAGTTACCAGCTTGGCATTTTGGTATTGAAAGTTTGACAACACTGTAATGGTCCCACTAGTTCCCCAACTCGCCGTTATTTAAACATAGAGCGCGCTAAAAAAAAACGAGTGACTCTTGCAGTGTATATGCAGCATCTCAGGCCACGAAAGTCCATAAGATGCAATGTCTATTCATATACCTCGTCTGTGCTTTTATTCTCACGCCGTGTTACGTCGCTCCGTCGTTAACGTCGTTTTCTCCTTTGCTTCTTCTCTCTGCTTTACTCGACCCCCTCTCCACTCGACAACAACGCCGGTTACTTTGTTACTTCCGCCACAGACGAGGCGTACAGCCGCACGAACGTACACCTCGTCCGTGTGTTACTACCTCTCGAAGAATGTTTCGCGTCTAGCAAGAGCGAAAAACACGATTCGGAAAATTAGGCAAAGCTTCCGGGAGATCGCACGAGCTGTTGCTCGCCTCTCCCGGTCGGTAATGGTAATTGTTAGTTGCGGAGAGTGTTAGTAAAGTTGGAGCCCGCCCCGGAGCGGCGGCTTAGCAGAAGAGGGAGCAAACAGAGGTAACGATTGCTGCTGCGAGTCTGTTAGGGGGTGGTTTTAGTGGTACTTTCGCGGGTAGGTGGTCGACCAACTATAACGATCGTGTTAAATATATATATATATACACACATACACATACAAATACACAATATATGTGTACATATATATGTATATATATACACATACAAGGCAGTCCAAGCGTGAAGCTGGCTGGCTGAAATGTACATGTATTCATATACCATTGTAAGTATGCGTGCCCGCGTTAAATTTCAAGGTTTTTTTTTTAAAACAATTCCAATTTTTCAAACAATGTTTTAAACCATATTTTAAAACAGTATCCTTGTCCTTTTAAATATTTTTAAATAAATTTCGACGTGCAACGCGCGCACACGTACTACATATGTATATCACGCAACGTGTGGTTATATACATGTATGTATATATACACATAGATATGTATATATGTATATATATAGAAAGAGAGACAGAGAATATATAGGTATATATAGAGAGATATATATAGATATATAGTGCAACAACAAACATCAAACAGCAAGATAACAACGATTAAACAACACATAAAAAAACATCAAGGTAACAACAACATCAACATCAATACAATGATATACATATATATGCTGTGATATATATGTATGTATGTATGTATATATATATATATGTATATGTTAAACAACAACACCAACATCGCAACAACAATTGAATATATATAAACACATATATATAAACATGTACATATTTGTACATATATATGTATGTATATATATATGATGTATACAGGTAGTATCGTACGGAGAGTGAGAGAGAAAGAAAGAGAGAGAGAGACAGAGAGTGACAGAAAGATAGATAGAGAGAGAGAGAGAGAGAAAGAATAGAGCAATAATAAACAAGTCAAGTCTCAATCAAGGTTCGAAAATTAATTGAATCAATCAATCAAGTCAATCAATTAAGTCAATTAACCAATCAATGAATTAATTAATTCCATCCAGCATACGACATACCCAGAGCATTGGCCGTGTGACAGTGAGTGAGAAAGATATATATACACATATATATAAATATATATATATATATATATATATATATAGTATAATAGTGTGCACGGTTCAACTCAACGGGGGGTACAGTCTCGAGGCGACAATTTTTCGACGATTTCTCGTTCGACGATCCAAAATGTTGTTCTTGTCCTGGAGAAAATTGTGCGTTGGAAAATTTCCACACGTGTGAGGACCTCGTCCCTCGACGCTCGAGGCTGTACCCGTATATATAAAAATAGTAATACGTGAACAGGTGGGTGTAACAGGGTGGGCAGACGGACAGACAGACAGATAGAGACAGACGGACGAACAGAGAGACAGACACAGATGAACAGACAAAGACAGACAGACAGCAGACAGAAAGACAGACAGTCAGACAGACAGACAGCGACAGCTAGCTTACCAGGTAGACCGGTACTACGCAGTTAGCAAGAAATGCCGTCCGTCCGTCCGTCCGTCCGTCTGTCCGTCCGTCCGTCCGCTTCCAAGCCCCCGGGATCTCGTAATCGCTCGGTAAGCAATGATCCAGTCGATGTTTCTCGATCGATTTCTCGAAGGTAGAATTTCTAGTAAACATAGTCGCGGGGACAGGGACTGGCCCGACTAACTGTTCATCCTCGTCCTTTGTTCTATTCCGTTTAAAATCCTTGCTTTCTCTTTTTTTCTTTTCTTCCCTCTCGGTCGGCGGATCGGCGACAGACAGGTCAGTCAGTCGGACGGACAGGCAAAGACGGGGGCGTTAGAAAAATATACATATACAGATATATTATACACATACGTTTGCTATACATACACAGGTGGACAGGAATATATATATATATATCGTAGAGTGGTAGTACTTGTTTCCACATAGAGGCATACAAAAACAACCAGTCTGGTTAGAGAATTGTCGATAATAATTGGTTTATAGTTTCGTGAGGGATGCATATCGTAAAGAAGGGGGGGGGGGGAGTGGTGGTTGCATTTTAGTCGCCGGTGCAGCGCAAAGCTTTTCGTGGACGAGAAAGTGACGTTCTCGTGAATCGTGAGTCATTGTGTGAGGAGAAAGAAAAAAAAAGAAATTGTTACTCGTTCGAACGCGAGGAATCGTTGTTATCGACAGCAGGTAAGCGAATCCTTGTAATCGACGTTACTTTCTGGGAAATTGGTCGACGATTTCTCTGCGTTTTCTGTGTTTGGGAATTCGAACGGTTCAAGATTTTTCTGACAACGAGAAAACATCCTGTCGACGTGTACGTGCGGAGCATCTTGGGAAAATCGTAGAAAATCTCTGGTGTAGATAATATCACGATCTTTGCATCGGCAGTGAAACAGGTTCGTGTTGAGTCGGCCGCGAGTGCTTCTAGTCTGTATACGAAACGATATTTTTCGTTTGCAATTTATCCGGGACACGTGCGCGCGATCGTTGGAAAAGTATCCGTTCGCATCTAAACCACTGGTCCGAAACTAAATATATATATATTGTATGTACTGACATATAATGCCTGAAAGCGCAAGCTTCGTCGATCGTCCAAACAACAATAAAAAAAAATACAATATAAACTAGAACCGAAAAAGATCTATATATCCCGCGGTGGCGAAAGTCGAAACTACAACAGACATTCAACTGATTCAATTCCCTCGATACTTTTATTTGCCATTTTTCTCATACCGGGTTGTGTGACCTTCGGCGTTCAAATCGTACCGACAGAAATTGAATCATTCGACTAAATTAGGCGCGGCCCTTCCAGGCCTCGATGTCCAAAACAAGACAACATAAAGAGACAACGAACGTACGTTGAAGAAAAAAAAAAGGGAACTAAACAACAAAAAAAAAAAAAAAAAAAAAAAAAAAAAAAAAAAAAAAAAAAAAAAAACAAAGAAATGGTCAGCACGCCTACCAACGACAGCATTGCGCGAACAATCGTGCACACAGCTGCAGGCGGCTATACAGAGAAACGGTGCAACAATTACAACAAACCACACACGTGCGTACATCGATTTTCATCGCAACCAACCAGTTATCAGCGCACGGTGTGGTCGATGATTACCATCGAGGAGGGGGGCAGAGAGAGAGAAAAAAAAAAGAAAAAGAAAGAAAAAAGGAAAATACACAATACGTACGTGCCAGTGTTTGGTAACGTGATCGTTGCACGCGTACACGTGCGCAATGTATCTCTATGTACGATGGAACGAAAACGCGAGAAGTTACGTGCCTTTACCACAGTTTATCGGCTTTCGTTTTAGGAGGTTAGGTCGGTGGTCCTCGAGGACCACCGATTTTCTCTCGCCGATTTCCCGCACTCTTCCCCTTTCGCTTATCGTACACACAGAGACGTTGGATTTGGTAAACAGTTACGTGAGATGCAACACCGAATGCTAACACACACACATATGTACACAGTATATAATTCTCAGTAATGGGGGGCTAACACAGAAGATTCTTGCTCTCTCGGTTCCTTGTGACGCAGCGGTTTACCGTATCGCAATCAGACGTCAGGCGGATTTCTCGGCGATCCCCCTGTGGTGGACAAACACGACCCTCGGATTAGTCCACTTTCTTCGTTTGTTCTCCTCTCTCTCTCTCTCACACACTCTCGCTTTCTCTCTCTCTCTCTCTCCCCCCCCTCGTCCCGGCTCTTTGCGCGAGAGCAATCTGTTACCA